TGTTCTGCTCCGTTTCCTCTGAACAGGAAGACAACGGCTCCAGCCAAACTGCAGCTTTGGAACGAAACTGACGAATGACAACTGATCAGTTTGTCATTTGTAATGATGCAGGCGGTCTGCAGAGGACGGAAACCCAACAGTGTTCAGCCCACAGGTTTCAGCAGAGGTCACACAGTGTCTGAATAAGAGAGGAGCGTGTCAGGAACCAAGACCCAGTCCGAAAAGTATTCAGAATAAACCAAAACAGAGTGAGTATTAATGAATTTAGTAATTGTTTAACTACATCATTTGGAGGCTTTTCTGTCCAAGATGTTTATGTGCTCCGCCAACTCCATGCAGGAGCATCTTTCCAAAGTACAGGCTGCACAAATATATATATTATGTGTGTTTGGATCTGACACGCTGCGACTCCCAGAAGGAGGATGCAGTCTGACGCTAATTGCTGCTATCAGCGGCTTTTTAAACACGCCTCTCTGGAGACGCTGAGGAAGAAGAGAACTGTCTTGGAGAACGACTCCCAGCTTCTCCGTGACGTGCTGGTCGGCAGGAAGATGCAGCTCAAGTGCAACAAGCACGCTTTGGGAAAAATCACTGCTGCTGCTTCAGCTGAACCACGTCGGTGTTCGGTTTGGACCACAGGCCTTCTGACCAGGATGTGGTTTTACACCCGTGTTGATCCGTGTTATATGAAGTGGACCACCACATGGACATCTTCATTTTACTGGTTCATGTTATTCTACTTTACCCTGTATTTATTTATTTATGTACATTTTATTTATTTACTGTTTTTATTTAGCCTGAATTTGTGGTTTTTCCTCCATTTTCTTTTGTGCAACTTGTTCTTTTTCTTTACTGCTACTAAAATTGTTACTGCTACAACAACTAGTGCAGCTATTGCTACAGCAACTCCTACTAAAGCAACTGCAACTACAACAACTGCTACTAAAGCAACTGCAACTACAACAAAAGCTACAGCAACTAGTGCTAAAGCTTCTGCAGCCATTTCTACTGCAACTTGTGCTAAACATACAGCTACTGTGCAACCAGTGCTACTGCAACTCCCACTAAAGCCAACACATTTTCTTACTTAGGACAGTGACGGATCAACATCTTGATCCAATCTTTACATTTTTAGTGTTCAGGTTGCAGCTCTGAGGGATTTTAAACACGATAGCACAGAGAGCAGAAGGAGGAACATTAAGGACAGAGTCTGTAGAAAATGAGACTCTTAGTGGAGCTGAAGCTGCCGACAAACTCCAAAAGCTTCTAGTTGAAGAGCTGCATTCACCTGTAGGTCCGTCTGACTGACTGTAGGTCTGACTGACTGTCTGTCCGACTGACTGTCTGTCCGACTGACTGACTGTCCGTCCGACTGACTGTCTGTCCGACTGACTGTCTGTCCGACTGACTGTCTGTCCGACTGACTGTCTGTCCGACTGACTGTAGGTCCGACTGACTGTAGGTCTGACTGACTGTAGGTCTGACTGACTGTAGGTCTGACTGACTGTCTGTCCGTCTCAGGTCCAGCTCGGCCCTGCTGGACGGACTCTCCTCCCTCTGAAAGCAGCCTCGGCTCTGAAGCACTTTCTCAGCTGCTTCCACTCTTGACCTTTGAAAAGCGAAGTCAAAAACAGTCTCAGCTGAAGCTCTTTTGCCACAACAAGCTCTGAGAGAAAAAATCAAATAAAAAAAGCCAGAAGTGGACACCGAGTTGAGTCACAAGAGCAAAGAAGCAGAGTGCAGCTCTTTGTGGTCTCAAGAGTTTGTTGCAGAATCACAAAGTGAAGAAAAAAATCGTCACAAACTCCATATTATTTATTTACTTTTATAACTTCAACATGTTCAACATGTTCTTGTTTCTGTGGAGCGGCACACATTAGCTCAGACCAACAGGAGCTCCTTCAGCTGGAGGTTTTTATCTGAACTCTGATCAGACGTTCATGGGAAGCAGCTGCTGCTCTCCGGCCTCCACCAGGTGAGCTGCAGCTTCAGGTGGAGCAGCTCCCTGTTCAGTTTAATCTTTATCTTTCAGCTTTAGCTTCCATCAGCACAGTTTGCAAAAACACCAACTTCAGTTTTAAAGGACATAAAACCAGCTGCAGGAGTAACGATGACATGAAGGTTGGTCTTTCCCCGACCTCGCGTTCATTTAGTCACCCCCGTAGCCGGAGTGAATGGTACAGTCCAGGAAGTATTTAAACTCAGGATTCAGTCTCTTGCAGGCTCTTTGATGAGAGCAGGGGGAACTTTAACATCTGGGTTCTTTTATTTTATTTTTTTTGAAACCATGAATCTTCTCAGAGAATCTTTGTTCTAGTTTCATGTTTCACATTCATGCACTCGCTCGCTCGACAGAAACGTCTCCAAAATCCATCGTTTGGTTTTGTTTGTGAGATGATTTTCATTTTTATTCAGAGAGCACAAAGACAAGAGACAGAATCACACAATACAAAGGTTTCATCTCTTATAAAGGTCCAGCAGTTTGCTCGACTCATTATCGAACTTCTTTTCTGACTGTGTGGAGGCAGAAGCAGCTCTTTGTTCGGGTTAAAAGGACATTTTATTCTAGTTTAACCCTCTGAACCCAAAACCCAAAGACTTTATGCTGTCTCTGTGCAAAAGAAATTACACTTTCAAGCTTTCCAACGGTGTGACGTGTGGGAGAAATCGAAGCTTAGTATTGTGATATTTCATCAAATTTGCTTCATTCTACAAAATCAAACTCAAGACTGACTTGACTGACCATCAGTCAGACATTCAGAGTTTGTCAGGTGAACTGGAGGCAGTGTTTCCCATTAAATAAACTCCTGATGGTTCATCAATATCAATTTACACGTCTCATTAAAAAAATCTGTCAAAAATGAACTTGTGGCACCAGATGATGTAAAGAACCCTCAAAACGCCAACAAATTTGTCCAAAAATGATAGAAAAAATGATATAAATTCTCCCAAGATTCTTCAAAATGTGTTTAAAATGACACAAACTCTTCTGAAATGATTTTCAAAAACCGTCTAAATGCCTCAATGTGTCCAAAATAACTGGAAAAAATACTAAGAATGACTCAAAATCTGCTCTGAATGACTTAAAATAGTCAGAAATGAAAATAAAACTGACTGGGTGGATAAAATAAACGCAGCGAGGCTCTGAGCAGAGGAGCGAGGTGTCAGAAGATGAAGAGAAATCTCCAAATTACATCGTTTGGTTTTGTTTGCGAGATTCCTTTCGCCTTTTCTCTCAGAGAACAGAGGCCAGAGATGTGAAAGAAGAAAGCAGGAGACTCATAAAACAAATTAGTGAGAAAAGCCTGAGCAGTTGGAGGAGGAGGTGCTTTTGTTTGGGACTATTTTCAGCGGCGCATTAATCCAGCGTTTTCCAATCACATCTCTGGCAGAGAAAAGTCAAAGAGAGCCGCGGCGGCGGTAATGAAGGATGGTGTTAATCAGCGCCGCTCGCTGATGTGTTTTTAATAGTTTCTGGACAGAAGCGAGGCTCTTCGCTTGTTAGCCGTGGTTCGGTTCAGTGCCAGGTGGAGCTGATTGGCACAGCTGCTGCACATTGTCTAATCGGCTTCTCCGTCTCCTGCAGCAGAGTCGAGCCGGGCCCCGGAGGGCAGCGACACCGGAGAGACGCCAGCTCGCCGGGCCAGACCGGGTCGCGGTGGAGTCTTAGTGTTCACTGTTTGCTGCTTGGGTTCTGTCTGAGGAACAGTTTGTTCTGAAGGAAAACACAGAAGCAGCTTCTCTCTCCCCAAAGGAAACCCAGACAGTGTCAGATGTCGCTAAACAAACAAAACATAAGAAGTAGAAAAGAAAAAAGCGTGAAACACGACTGGAACAAGACCAGAGCAGAACCTGAAGGATAACGCTGGTACTGGGTTAATATGACATCGACAATGTCGCACACCAAGCAGAACTTTTACACCTGATGAATGAAAATATGAAATGAATATTTTCATGGGATAGAATATTATTGGATGTTAATTTAAGAGAACACCATGCTGCTTGTCTTGTGACGGCATGACACAAAACATAGAGGGAACGCTAGAACCACCTGGTAGGTTCTATAATTCTATTTATCGGAGCCAGAAACCATAAAAACATAAAACCAGAACTGTGAGCGTTTACGTCCGTCCTAATCATGTGTGATGTGTAATTCTGTTTGGAAAATGAACACCTTAAGCCTAAAATTAAGATATTTCATCAAAACCACTTTACATGCCAAAAAAAAAGTTCTTGGTACCAGATTGTTTTAAAAACAAAAATAAATAAAAGTCATCCATCCATGTTGTTCCGTTTGTCCGGGTCAGGTCGTGGAGGCAGCAGATGTGATCCTGAGGTCCCCAAACCGGACACCCTCCTCACCCCGGCTGCCCCTTGACATCCTGTCCATGAAGACCACAAACAGGATCGGGGACAAGGGGCAGCCCTGGTGGAGTCCACGTCCACTGGGAACAGGTCCGACTTATTGCCGAGAATGCCGACACAACTCACTCTTTGGTCGTACAGGGACCGTACGGCCCGTAGCAGCGAGCCTGGTCCCCCATACTCCCTCAGTACCCCCCACAGAGTCCCATCGGGGGACACGGTCATAGGCCTTCTCCAGATCCACAAAGCACATGTGGACTGGCGGGTCAAGTTCCCATGCCCCCCTCAGCAGCTCCACAAGGGTGAAGAACTGGTCAGCTGGTCCACCACCAGGACAGAATCCGCATTGGTCCTCCTGAATCTGAGGTTTGCCAATCGGTCGGAGCCTGAGAAGTGTGATACCCCGGGAGTTGGAACACACTCTCCGGTCCCCCTTTTCAAAAATGGGAACCACCACCCCGGCCTGCCACTCCACAGGCGCCGTACCCAATTCCCACGCAACACTGAAGAGACGTGTCAGCCATGACAGTCCAACAGTGTCCAGAGCCTTCAGCATCTCAGGGCGAATCTCGTCCACGCCTGGTGCCTTACCGCCAAGGAGCTTCTTAACTACCTCGACAACCTCTACCACGGATATGGACGGAGAAATCCCCGAGTCGCCAGGCTCTGCCCCCTCAGTAGAGGACGCTCCTACCAAGTTCAGGGGTTCCTCGAAGTGCTCCTTCCACAAGGACAAGGACCCCAGTCTGGGTCAGTAGTTCTCCTGATGGTGGAACATCTTTCTACATCTGATGGTGGAACATCTTTCTACATCTGATGGTGGAACATCTTCACAGATTCGAGGAGAACGCAGTTTTTGAAGCATTTCAATTGATTTAAATTTCACAACAAAGTGTCCTACTGATGCTAATGCAGACCCAGTTCATGTTAATTTGTGCATCACGTTGGGAAAAACTCACCCCAAAGTGAAATAAATTGATAATCGGTGGGAAACAGACATTCAGGACACTCCTCAGTCTTTTATGGAAATGGGATCCCAGGTGGTAAAGAAAATAAAGGCTGTCTGCGGCGTTCTGAAGACGCAGAATGTTAATGTGGACGACTCCCCGTGTGTCAAAGTTGATTAAAGTTGATTACCAGAGTTTGTTTATGGCGAGAAGAGCGAGAAAAAGGAACTTTTAAAGAAGTTGAGCTGCCAGCAGACCCGTGATTACCGAGCGACGGAGCTGCTGTAGATCATGTGTGACAGCAGCTCAGACATTAATACGAGTTTTCATCCCGAACCACCTGCTGCTGCGCCTCGGCACCTGTTTTCTGCAGGTACGTCTGACTTATTGGAAAAGAGACGTTTCACGAGGCCGACTTTGATTTATGTGACGAGCGGCGGGTTTCTGGTGGCTTTTTGTGTTTCAAGAAAATCGGAGTCGATATTCTGAACGAGGGAGATTTGGGTGAATATTTGATCTGGCTGATCTCGTTTTCCCTGCGGTGGGGGAGGAAGCGTTGGCGGCGGTTAACCCTTCAGCTGTCCTCTGATGTGTCAGAAACGGGGAGATGATTGACAATAACGTGAGCCTTGGCAGCAGCGTGAACGAGTGTTTCTTCATTAAGGCCTCCTCGGTATACATTATGTAAACCAGCACTCTGCACACCTCTCCTCCAACCTCACCGACAGCGTCATTAAAACTCCATTACGCATAATAAAGGAAGGAGAACTCGCTGAGAGCCGACGTGCTTCTTGAGAAGAGCTGCTGGGGGAGAAACGCTGGATCCAACCATCTCAAATGGAAAATAAACCAAGAAATGCAAATTGCTGCATTGTGCCCACCTGCATCTGCAGAGGGAACATGGAAACATGTGAGCAGATGAAGGAGTCATCAGCGTTTCCTGGCCTCACGCGAACAGCTTCAATCTGCACATACAGTCCAACCGGGCCGAACCGGAACACCTCAGCAACAAGAAAACAGAATTTCTTTATTGTCATTGGAAACTAATCAGTCGTCTCTTAATGAATAAAACTAATCCGCAAATATGTTTAAAGGTCACATAATAGGACCTGATTCAATTTTTCTATTAACATAATGAGCGACAGATTAAAAACTATTTGAGTGTCATTAATTCATTTAAATTAAATTAAATACTAAATATATTTGGTGAGTCAAAAGTACGTCGATGCTGATTGTTTACGACCCAGAAACTTCACTGTTTGGTCTGAAGGTTCAGGTTCAGGAAGATGGAAGAGGATCTATTTCGGTTTAACCTCCAGAACCCCAAAATCACTGGAAGATTAAAAAAAATTGTCCAAATGACAGCAGTTGTTGGAGCTTCACGTTCCATCGGTCCTCTGATGCATCGTATGCGACAGGTTCAGTTCATCTGGAGAAAATAATCAAATCTGAGCCCAACAGACGTCATCAAAATCGCTTTGTTGTTCAT